CCTGTAGTCCCAGCTACTTGGAAGGCTGAGGCAAGAGAATCGCTTAAGCCCAGGAGTTGGAGGTTGCTGTGAGCTGTGTGACACCAGGGCACTCTACCAGGGGCGATAAAGTGAGACTCCGTCTCTACAAAAAAAAAAGTAGGAGGATGGCTAAGAGAGGAAAGAGAAACAGGATTGTGGCTACTGTGGTCAAGAGAGATTGAGAGTTTTCTTTTCTTGGATTGTTTGTTCATTTGTGACAGACTCCCACTTCCTCACCCTGGGTAGAATGCGATGGTATTGTAGCTCACAGCAACCTCCAACTCCTGGGCTCAAGCACGTCTCCTGCCTCAGCCTCCCAAGTAGCTGGGACTACCGGCGCCGGCCACAACACCCAGCTATTTTTTGGTTGCAGCCGTCATTGTTGTTTGGCAGGCCCGGACTGGATTTGAACCCGCTACCTTAGGTGTATGTGGCTGGCGCCTTAGCCACTTGAGCTACAGGCACCGAGCCCATTCATTTTTAATAAGAGAAAGGAACTTTTCATATATCGAGGGAAATGGGCTGGTGCAGAAAGAAAAAGTAACAATAGTGGGAAAATAGGAAATAGTGGGGCTAAAATAGGGAGTACCAAGAGGACAGGATCCAGGCACATGGAAAGGAGGAAAAGGTGACTTCTAAAGGTGAATGAGGAGAATACTATTGTGTACACATAAAGAAAGGGGGATTGAGAAGCTGAAAGCATCCTAACCTCGTTATAATAAAAACAATTAACACTTACTTTTCATATGAAATGGGAAGCATGACCAAATGCAGAGGCAAGGGTGGTGCCTGTGGCTCAGTGAGTAGGGTGTCATATACCAAGGGTGGTGAGTTCAAACCCAGCCCTGGCCAAACTGCAACAACAACAACAAAAATAAAAATAAATAAATAAATAATTAGCAAATGCAGAGGCAAAAAAAGCAGTGGAGATGAAGACAAGAGGCTTGAGGAAAGAATGATGATTTGGACATGTTTCTCAGAAAGTAAGGGGAGTGAGGATGAAAGCTAACACTTCTTGAATCCTAGACACCAGTGAAGTAATGTGATCCTCATAGCTGCTCTAGGAGAAAGCGAAGTATTATCTCCATTTTACTGATAAGAAAACGGAGGCTCCACGAGGATAGTTTATGTAGTGCAACAGTTAGTCAGTGATACAATGTAACCCCAGGTCTCTAAGAGCATAAAGGACAAAGACAATTGTGTCTAATACAGCGCTCTTAAATCCTACTTTGTATATGTTAAAATTACTACCACTGCTTTCTTTTTTTCCCCATATTCGGTTGATATCAGTCATGATTTCATCTTTCTCTTAATTTTTTTTTTTT